AGGCATCGTAGGCCGGATCAATTATGATCACCTCATCACCATGGTTAATTAGGCCGTACAGCGCGCAGTGTATGGCCTGATAGGCGCCCAGAGTTATCAGGATGTTGTCATCTCTTACCTCGTTGTTCAATAGGTGTGAATATAGTTTGGCCAACACTTTCACTAATCTCGGATGACCCTGTTTGATTCATTTATACGTCGAATTTATTTATTAGTTTTGGTAAACACGGATTATAATAAGTAAAGCATATCATATCGTGCAAATGCATGTTTTCACCGGTTAGTTAAATATGTTTGGGACTTTGGGGGCAAACGAATGACATAATAAGGGGTGTTTTGGCCAACTTTTATTTTGCATATAACTGCATATTTGGTTTAAAAACATAAAATGACACGGATTTGCACAAAAATCATAAGTAAACACGAATAAACTGTTAAAAAATTTACAATCAATTGAAATTAATTTTAATTTGTGAACAAATATTAATTAATTTAACAAACACGGATTTTAATAAGGACCTAGGATATTTTTTATCAAGTAATCAGGTACAATTTATTTATGGAGATTTTACTTTTAATATATTTGTTATTCTCGTTACAAATTTGGTAAACATAAATAAAAATAACTTATTATTTTAAATAAGGTATTTATAATTGCACATTGATTATGGTAATATATAGTGAATTCAGTTATACGGTATAACATATACCTTACAATGTAATTTACACTCACAACGTAAATAACTAGCGTAAATAGAGAATACGGTCGTTGGTTCGAGCCCACGTTGGGCGTTAAGAAATTTTTATTACAAACATTTTATTTCAAAATTATAAGTTAAAGATTTTTTCACAATATAATTATTTAAAATTTGTAATTTATTAAATCAATACTATTTACTATGCAATCAATGCTTTAATTATTTATCACTTTAATTTATATTGTTTAAATGCTACTAACTTTGAAATGAATTTTTAAATAATTTTATCTTGTTTAAATAATAAGAATTTATACAAAAAGCAAAATATAGTAAATGTATCATGCTTACTGGACTTTTTGTGTATTGATGTAGCGAATAGTGGCCATCGACTAACACATCGCACATGGCGTCCATAATAGACTGTGGCTGGGCGTTGAAGTCCGGCATTCCCATACCTAGATTAATTGCTTTATTCACTTCGGCCATGTGCACGATGTCAGCCCTAAGACAATAATTAAGTTATTATTATTTTTACAAATTGAGTTAAAATATTTTTCAAATACAATACCAAAATCTTGTGTCGAGTCCAGCGTAACGATCAGCGGGTTTGACTAAGTTTGACATTATCGTACTTAGGTAAATTATAATTTACCTTAATTATATTTTTACAAGTAAAACATTTACACCAAGTAGTCTTTGCATTAATTTAACTTATTTTTACAAAATTAATTATTTTTATAACAATTTTTGTGACTTTATATACAAGATAAAAACGGTAGTGTCATTGCCAGTTAAATTGTTGGCAATACAATCCTGGTCATAAAATAGGATTGTGATGAAATAATATCTAATTAATATAACCAATAAATATTGAAATTGATAAGCATGTAAATCAATTAATCTTTTAATTACAGAATATTTCACACCGTTTTCGCAATAATTAATACCAATAAAAATAATAACTATTTATACAAAATCCTATCGGCGCTAATCTACCGGGGCACAATGTCTGAGTTAAATAAATACTTGCTTATTTCCAGTGTCACACACATGTGACCACATTATTAACACCTATTATTTAAAGTATAGAAAACATATTAAATATTATTAGAAAGTTTTCTATACAAACAATTATTTATTTATTTTCACATTTAATTGTTTATCAATTAAAATCTTATATAACATAAAGATTTTATTGTATTGATATTACATTTAATTAGTATTTATATATTATTAATAAACATTTAATTACAAAATCCTTGTATATCCTATTAAAATATATACTTAAAGAAATCCATAATAATAAGTGATATTAATTTTAATTGTAAGTTGTAATTTAATCTTACGTTAGTTGTATTCATTCATTTAATTCTAAACGTTGTGTTAATAAATACTTAATATCCAGTCATAACTTGGATAACTAGAGTCACCAATGGATGAGTCAATTAATGTATAGATTAACGATAAATTGTTAATTAGTAAAACAAAATCACGGTATATAATACTTATCTAATACTCTAAACTGACATAAAAAGTTGTTATAGTATAATTCAATCTTGGTGACTCTATTAATAGCAATGGAAGTGAAAAGTAAAATAACTAACAAATCTAGGTGGGATTCAATAAACTTTTTAGAGAAATTATTTTTAACGTAAGTTACATTTTATTAACAAAATATTTACATTTAAGTTAATTATTAAAAATTTTAAAAACATATATTTTTAAAACTTGTAATTTATAATATCTTAATTTGTGAACAAATATAATTACCCTAATTGTGCGTTCAGTTGGGTTTACCCTCTATTCTGGAAGGGATGGCGAACAGAGAGTCTATCGTACGAACACTTAAGCCGATGCTCTAAAGACGATGAGGCGCTTGTAGTGGTTCAACAATTGGAAAGGTCAGTTTTATTTAATTTATAAATTTCTATTGTTATTAAATTTTCACCATGGTATATTAAAACATTACAGCAATTGGGACATTGAACGCCGTAAGCGTAATCCTAAATTCTGG